CCCCCCCCCCCCCCCCCCCCCCCCCCCCCCCCCCCGCCTGCTCCTTTGGAATGAAATCATCTCACGACCAAGGCAAAGCCACAAGTCACTTCTGACACTGCCGATTGGAAGCTGGGCCCCTGGGCCACAGGAATGGGGGCAGGTCCCCTGGGCTGGGCAGACCAGGAAGGAAGGTGGCTCCTTGGCTTTGGTACTTAAGAGCCCTCACAGGCCATTGTTCATACTCTTACCAGCCTCAGCTGTTTGGTTTAAATAATCACTAAACTTTGTATCCTACAATTATAGAATTCCAAAGACATATCTACCTGCATTGGATCCTTTATCATTTTAAAGGACTTTGGGTTTCAAGAAGCACTTTTTTTTTTTTTTTTTGGTGCACATATGCATAAGTAGAGCCCAGAGGGCCTCTCAGCTGACTGGGTCCCCAGCCCCCCGAGCTGAGGAGGCTTCGCAAGGCCGGCTGCTACAAAGAGCCGAGCTTGGCTGCATAGATTTTAATGAGAGCGTCAGGCAGAGCTGTGCTGTTGCTCTCCGGGACTTGCAGATCATTACCAAACCAGCTGTAGGATGAGAACACAGCACATCGAAACCCTAGGAGGTCACTGAGCTAATGATCTAATCCTACCTTCCGCAGGCAGGGCCCCTCCCCACCTCCTCCTGCCCCCAGCCCTTTCTGCAGTGGACTCTGTCCATTCCAGAAGCCAGGCCAACACCACCCCCTTCAAGGTCAGAGCAGAATGATAGTGAGTGGCTCTGGCTCCCCCTCTTCCGGAAAGGAGGAGGATGGGGGTAATTTACTCACAGCCATTAGGCCCAAACCCTGGCCTGGCCAGGCCCCAGGACTCCTATTTGGGAGAAACACTGGCCTCCGCCTGCCTCTCCAGCCGCTGCTGGGCTGCAGCCGGGGCACCTTCAACAGCATTTCAGGGTTCTGATAAAAGGACCTTCGGCTTCCAAAGTGCAAGTAGGGGACATGGCTGGGCAGGCCCAGCCTGGTGTGCTCAGCATGGAGTTGGGTGCCAAGCCCTGTGTAGGAGATACCTTATCTGGGGAGTAGGAGGAGGGCACACTCTGGAGTAGCTGCAGCAGAAGCATATTCTGGCACTTGCAGGCTCTCCCCACATCCTAAGTTCAAGAAAGGAGGCAGAGGGAGGTATTCAGCAAGGGCAGGCAGCAGTGCCCACGATCATACTCTCCTCAAGCCGGAGGGGTTTATGAGGGCTTTGGCAATTACTACAACCATTTGCTGTGCTGGGTAGAGACAGATCCTTTTTCTCTTTGTTTCAGGCTCTGAAAGCTGGAGAAGCTGATTTCAGCATGAGAGGCCACACAATAGTTGGGGCAGAAGAGAAAAACCTTGCTGTTGGCCAGAGCTGACCAGTTTTTTCCTAAATAATAGCACCTGTGTATAAACTCTGGGAAGTGGCTGGGGGTGGGGGGATGAACATTACCATGTGAAATAAGGGAAGACCTTGAGTCCTTCCACCCTTCAGCCCTCTTCACGGCTGCTAGGCACCCCCCAACACACACACCAAGGCAGGTACCTGGGGTGGCTGCCAGCCTGAGGGACTCAAGTTTCTACAGCTGGTAGAACCTATGCTTAAATTGGGGAAATAAAAGGGGGAGGAGTTGCAGTAAAACTGAAAACAGCACCTGTCAAAGCTGCCTGCCCTCTTCTTTTTCTCTCTGGTTTCCCAGAAGCACAGCTCCTAGGCCATGTTGTTGGCTGATGATAGGAAGGGGCAACAAAGGGTTACATGAGAGGCTATAAGGTCTGAGCAGCACTGACAGGGCTGGCACAGGCACTGAGCCTCCGACTGGGACCCCTGCCTATGGGGAGGTCTGGAGCAGCACAGAGCCAAGACTGCTCTGCCCAGACTCCAGCAGGTGCCCATTATTTGGTCCCAGAAAGCACAGGTGACTTGGAATCAGGATGTCTGGGCTCTTGCTCCATTACTATCCAACTGTGTGACCTTGAGCAAGTCACTTCCCTTGTCTAGGCCTCATCATCTTTAAGAGGGCAGACCCAAGGAATCCTACCATCCTTCTAGTTCTGTAGTTCCAAGTCTCTAAGCTTTGCTCCTGACAGTCAGCAGAAGCCCACCCATGTCCCTGTGTGTCAGGGCTAGTTTGGTCATAGATATTAGAGGTTAAAACTGAGCTATATAGCCTAAAGGCACCTAAGGGCAAGGAAGGGGTATTTAAAGGACACTTTACCATCATACTTGATAAGAGGGAGTCTAGGAGGGAGGCAACAGCCTCAGCCTTCAGAGACCTTGTTTCTGGGAAAAGTGGATGAGACACTCTGTAGTGGTCTGTTACCTCCTGGAATAAAAAATATCCCAGGTCAAAAGATCACTGAATAAAAGGCAGCCCCACCCTGCTAATTAGGGCAGACAGCAGGAGTAGGCAAGAGGTGGTCTGGCTTCGGGGTACTCAGACTGCTCTGCCCTCTTAGGACACAGGAAAGGGGGACAACTGTGTCCCCACAGTCTGCTCTCAGTACTTTAGGACCAGAAGATGGTTGGAATTCAATTGAAAATGGCTCCTAGCGAAGAATACCATTTCCCATTGAAACCCAATCAAAGAAATCTGCTTTGGGGGGTTTTCCTTCCTTTCAATATGTGACAGTCGCTTGAAGGAACCAGGGAACATCTCATCTTAGCTATGAAACTCAGGAGCCCATGCTCTTAACAATAGGGAGAGAAAATACATGTTGATTTGGAGGAAGCACTTGGATATATCTTTGGTTGCTTCAGGGAAGGCTTTGGCCCTTGAAATTCTTTTGTTTCTCCCCCTCCCACAGGACTATTAGGATAGGCATCAAAAAAGGAAGGTAGGAAGGAAAGAAAAGGAGGTGGGCGGCAGGCAGAAAGAGTTAATCCGACCAGTCGTCCTCATCAAATTCAGAGGAGTCATCTTCCGAGTCACTGTACTCAACAGCAATACGACGTGACAGGATGGTGGCCACATCATTGCCCACAACATCTCGTTTCTCTTGCTCCCGCTGTTCTTCAACCCTTCGTAGCTGAAAGCCTGGTGATGGAGAGGGAGAAGGGTTAAGAAGGTGTATCCTGGATTGAGGGATGTAGCGTGTGTGAAGCCCTGGGTTTGATTCTCAGAACTGAGGGGGAAAAAAAAAATCCATCTAGCCCTAAGGGGAAATGACCACTAGTGGTGGGAGAACTGTACAAAATTGAGAAAAAGAAGGATCCTCTGGGAAAGGTTGGCAGGAAGAGAAGGAAAGATGGGCTTTAAGAAATGAGGGTTCTTGGGGCTGGGGATTTAGCTCAGTTGGTAGAGTGCTTGCCTCACATGCACAAGGCCCTGGGTTCAATCCCCAGCACCAAAAAAAAAAAAAAAAAGAAAAAAAGAAATGAGGATTCTTGCTGGGCATGGTGGCACATGCCTGTAGTCCTAAAGACTTTGAAGCTGAGACAGGAGGATTGAAAATTCAAGGCCAGCCTTAGCAATTCAGCAAAGCCATAAGCAACTTAGCAAGACCCTGTCTCAAAATAAAAAATAAAAGGGCTGGGGATGTGGCTCAGTGATTAAAAGCACCCTTGGGTTCAATCTCTGGTACCAAAAAAGAAAAAAAAAAAATCAGTATCCTGGTACTATAATATTTATTTATTTTTATTTTTTTTTAGTTCTCGGCGGACATAACATCTTTGTTGGTATGTGGTGCTGAGGATCGAACCCGGGCCGCACACATGCCAGGCGAGCGCGCTACCACTTGAGCCACATCCCCAGCCCATATCCTGGTACTATAAGTGTGTCTAAAGCATGGCATTTTTCCTGGCTGCTGAGGATAATACTTTCTCACAAGGCTTGGAGTGGGACTCGGGCTGTCCAAGTCCAATGACCATTAATGGGGCTCAGCAGCTCTGGACTGTCTTCTCTATACTAGAAGTCCCTTGAGAATCACAAACAGAACCAACCACTCCAACCCCCTAGGGACCAGACCTGGCCACTGGCAGAGAATAAATGCTCCAGGCTGGTGAGATGATGACAGAGAGAGGAGGGGGGCGGATAAAGGAAGGGAAAGGGAGAAAATATAGAAGGGGATAAAAGGAAAGGGGATAAGTGGAAATAGGGAGAAAAAGAAAAGAGGGTGGAGGGAGGGAGTATAGAAAAGGTGGAGCAATGGAAAAGCACAGGGAGTGACAGAGTGCAGCTAAAGAGGGGCTCTCTGGGACTGTGACTCTTGATATTTCCTGGGTACCTGAGGAAAAATGGGGATACTTTCTAAATGGGAAAAAAATACAGGTGCGCGCATGCACACACAGCATACATTTTCTTTTTTTGGTACCAGGAACTGAACCCAGGGGGGCTTAACCACTGAGCCACATTTTTTTTATTTTGAGACAGGATCTTGTTAAATTGCTTGGGCCCTCGATAAGTTGCTGGGATTAAAGGTGTTCACCACCTGCACAGCAAAGTACACATTTTCAAGAAGATCCAAGATGCCAAGTTAAGAATTCTTTACTTTAGACTAATGTGGAAAGAAATCTCATATTTTCAGGGTGTGAAGTCTTTTTTTCAGTCTGCTGAGATCTGAAGTTCCAACCTCTCCATAACTCAATGAAAGCCATTCTCTGGAAAAGGCACAGATCCCTTTTCCCAGCTTCAGAAAAACAAGGCTTCATGGTCCCAAACCCACCCACTGGGATTTACCTTGACGGATGGCAGAAAGCAGGTCGCTACGGGCATCACTCACAGCAGGCAAGGAGGACTTGGGCTTAGTGGCATCAGAAAGCGGCGGTGGTGGTATGGCAGGCTGGCCATCCCCACCACTGAAAGGGAGAGGTGGAGGTCCTGGAGGGGGAGGGGGAGGGGGAGGGGGAGGCGCACCGCCTACTGGTTGGGACAAGGGAGGTGGTGGCAGAGTGGGGTAGTCCACTGCAGGTGGCAGGGGAGGTGGTGGAGGGGCAGCAAAATCAGGGTGAGGTGGAAAAGATGGGGGTGAAGGTGGTGGAGGGGTCCCTGGAGACCCAAATCCTATGGGTGGTGGTGGAGGTGGAATGCCCATTGGAGGTGGAGGAGGAGGGGCAGGTGGTGGAGCAAACCCAGGTTTGGGGCCTGGTGGAGAACCCAGAGGAGGAGCTGGGGGTGGATGGCTTGGGCTAACCACGCTGGATCTTTTGGGTCCAGCCAAGCCAGATCCTCTTTGGTTGTCTGCTGGATAGCTATAAGGCCAAAGAAAAGAGACCCACCATCACTCTCAGGAAGTGAACACCCATCTAAAGGTAGGCTTGTAACTTAGGCTCCTTTTGGTTGACTCTAATATTTCATCATGTCTCAAATAGAAAGGACTAAGAATGCACATAAGAAAGAACTGGAATGAAAATTCAAATACTACCCTCCCACTGGGCTGTGTCTCAGGCTATTAACATTCACCAGATCTGATGAATGCAGGAAACCTATTTTGAGCTGACCAAACCTGAGTCAGGTGCACCTGATTTAGGTGCATGCATCTTCACTTGAGAGAGAATGAGCCTCCATTTGAGGATCTGAGAGACATGAAATGCGTGTGCCACCAATTCTTGATCTAGGTTTGAAAGAGGATTAAGCCTCCCCTTCTCCTGGGATCAGATTTGTGCAGTTGTAGCTACAAGGTCTCAGGCCATGTGTGAGACTGAGGGTTTTCTTTTACCACCTTTGCATCTGCCCTGCACTAATAGCTACTCCTTAGGAAAGCATCCATCTTGGAATTTTCCACAGACCTTCAAGCCTTAGCTGCATCTGACAGGGTAACCAGCAGGAAGTGATCTGGGAGGCAGGAGATTTGGGATTAGTGGTTTCAAGGGCCAAGAAGAATAGGGGAGAGGACAAGTGGGCATCAGTACTTTAAGTCTCCATTTGAGAGGGCCTCAACATATTCAGTTGCTAATTAAATAGTGTCCAGGGAGTAAAGTGCATTTTTCAAAGCTTTCATTTGTCAGACATCAGAAAGACAAAAAGTAACTGAGAAAATAGTGTAATCCAAAAAATTCTCAGGTCTCTTTTCAGCCATTATAAGCAATCTTTTCCTCTATTCCCCTCTGCCAGGGACACTGACAAATATCAAAATGGACAGAGTCTAAGTTTTACCCCCTTTCCCTTAGCTTCATTCTTTCTGGAGAGTCTACCCAGCAGCGAAATGAACCAGAGGCAATAGGAGAGGGAAGTAACTATTTGCAAGGTTCCTAGATTGTGGGCAAAGTGTCTGATAAGTATTTTATGGCCAGCAGATTGTAACACAACATTTCAGACTGAGTTAAAGCTAAGTGAAAAAAACAAGAACAATTGGTGACTTCTATTTGTTCAGGTATAGACAGAATATTGAATAGTTAAGAACACAGTCTTGGGAATTAGAGTGGTCAATTGTGGCTCTGTTTCTTTTTGGCTGTGTGACTTTAGGGAAATTCATTGTCTGCCTCGCATTTTACTCATCTGTAACATGGGAATAAGAGTGCCTAACTCAAAAGGACTCTTGTGGGCATTAAGCAACATAAATGGTGTGTAGCACAATGCCTAGCACCTTGAAACATCTGATAAATGATAACTACTTCTATTATACAGGCTGTCTTGCCTGAACTTATTTTAGTAGTCCTGGCCCAGATTTTGAACTTTTATTTTGTTTTTGTATGTTCTTAGAGGGGAGAGGTTCCATCATTTACCTGAATTCTGCTGGTGGGGGAGGCAAGTTCTCCTCAGAGAAAGAAGGTGAAGGTGAAGAGGCGGAGTCTGACTGTGGTGGTGGTGGATAGCTGCCTACATCCACATTTTCAATAGAGCCAATGCTGCCATTCTGGTACACTAAGGCGGGTGAATACCTGACAATAAACCCAATGCCAAAAACTGTCATTTAAAGAGCCTGAGTGGTATTTTCTTAAAAAAGTCCACAAAATGCATTTGATACAAAAGCTATTAGGGAGAAATAAGCAGATTTTCCTGAAATTTTATTTAAGGACTAAATATTGTACTGTTATGTATATCCCAGTCATTTCTGATGGACTGTTTGTAATAACGGGATTCAATCCAGATTACCAAAACCCTGTTGTTTTTTACCCAGTGCCAGCTTTGTCAAACCAAAATCTTTTACATTTTCTTCTGAGTGTTAGTTGCAGCCATACCTGAATCCCAAAGCCAGTCTTGTGCAAGGAGTGAAGGCAAGTCTACAGACCAGTGAGCTACAAACATGTGACTGGCATGCAGCCTGATTTTGAGGTCGGCAAGCCTCTAGAGTACTCAAAGGCCAAGGAGGCATTTGATTGCAAAATCAAGCCAAGGCTGAATGCAGGTTGCTGTGTGGTAGTAATTGAGATCTCTCTGCCAGGTCTCTTATCAAACAAAATGAGCTGCCGATTAAAAGTAGGGTGTTAGGGCTTGCCTCGTGAAAATCTGCCTCAGAGAACTTGGCCTTGGGGGAATTTGCTCTGGGTGAACAACATCAAAACTTCAAAAAAAGCATAAATACATCAAGCAATAAGTTTCCATACAAGCACAAATATACCAAGCATCAGCTAGCAAAATCTGTTCTGCTCTGCCCACTTCCCCCTTCTTTCCACCACTGTTGGGTTCTAAAGACCTCATCAAAAACAGATCCCAGGGAGAACAGAATTGGAGGGAACTAACTGAATCAAATGATGCTCTGATGTGGAAAATCCCCAAAGCCTGGAGCTGTGTAGGCTGGGCACATCTCGATAGGTTCACCAACAAGTATGTCCAGATAGACTAGCCAGCAGCCCAACTCCAAACTCCTGGACAATGAGAAAATGAGAGGCAAACTCCTCATTTTCACCACCCCCATCCCACAAAAAAAGACATACATAATAGCTGACATTATGAACATATAAGCTTCTGGCCTTAAAGTTCACTGAACCTATGATAAATGCCTGTCTGAAGAGGATGGGACCACAGAACAAAATAGCCCCTTTTATTGGGAGGTGAAGGTAATGAAGACACCCTCAGGGCTGAAAGAAAGAAAGGTTCACCTTTATTCTATCTTCATCACTCTTTAAAACAAATCTCTTAATCCAGGAAGAACAAGTGTCAGAAGTGTCAAGATTTTTAAAAGTCAAGATTTTCATGGTAGAGTTACTCCTAAAAGCAAGAACAACTTAACTCTTTCCTTTTATCAATCCTAGACACCCTGCATAGGCGGGCATGGTTCTCTGACAACCCGGATACAATGTATTTAGAGGAAAAACCAGAGCAACATTCATGCCAAACAGTCCTGGTGATTTGGCTTTGAATGTCATATAGGTCAGACAACAGGATAAGAACATCAAACCAAGTTTAAACACCATTTTTCCCCTTTAAACTTCCAGTGTGATTTGGTATTGGGAAATGGGGTCAGACTGACATCTCCCATTTCTCCACAGAGATATATAGCCTCCACAGTAGCCAAGCAACCTTTCCCACACTGACTCTGAGATCTGCATTCAACTCCTTGGCTAGCTTCTCTCTAAGACTGACAAAAGCTGGCTGAAAAGTTGCTCTGGTGATGTGCACAATTTCTTTGCCTGGCCTTCCTCACTCCCTCAAAATGCTTGGCTCTTAGGTATGACCTTCAAACCATGCTGTGGAGGCAAAAGGCTCCCAAGACCACTTTTCTTCCCCTTCCAATTTTTCCTCTGAGACCCTCAGACATACTAGTGTCTGGCAGAATAAGGGCACTAGAAGCCAGGGGCCTTCTTTTCCAGACCACTCCAGTTACCTCATTTAAATTGCTGAGTCTCTTTGATTTATTTAGCAAATTTTAATCACCAGATGGATGCACTTAAAAGTAGCTGATTAATAGCAGTATTGATCAAAACAACAAAGCCAGATTTCAGGGGGTGTAAAAGGTGTCATGGCAGAGCTGTCAGACTATTGTCCCCAGATCCCCAGATCCTTCAAAGAATGCTTCACTTACCCAGAAGGCCCCAGCTTTTCTTTGGACTCCACAAATTCTTGTCCCATCTTCATTTTCTCCCATTCTTCTTTACGTGTCTTGATTTTACGTGGGTTTACATTCCCTCGATTTGGATTATCTTTCTTTTCTTTCTATAATGAAAAGGAACAACAAAAAAATCTTTGGGAACTATTTTCCAAAGTTCTTCATTAAAATTCCACCCATCTTCAAAGATGTATATTTAAGAGATGATTTATCTAGACAACAACTTATGATAAGAGCAGAATTTATAGAATTACTAGGTCTGGGGTGACCTAGAGGTCGTCTAATTCAAACCACCTTCTAGGCAAAACACTTGCTCAGTCCCACAATTAAACACCTCTAGCAATGGGAAGACTACTACCTCTCTAAGTAACTCTTTCATGTCTTTGAAAAGCTCTAATTGTTAGGAAGTTAGTAACCAGTCATTTGTTACTTGCTCTGCCACAAAGAACAGTTAAGAGAGATGAGAAGGAATGACAGCTGCAGATATCTGGGACAGATATAAGGAAATATTTAAAAAACAAAACAAAACAAAACCACGGAAGAATTTTCCATCCTGTGAAGCTGGACTAGCCTATGGCATTCTCTTGGGCCTGCTGGCAGCCATGCTAATGGGATTGTGAGGTCAAAACTGGTAGGTCATATACATAGCACCAGGAGCCTAGGAGAAAGGGGCATATCCACAAACCAGACATATCCACTCCCCTGGTGCTAACCAAGCAGGAACGAAGGTGTTAAACTGCTCCTGTTGCAAATCAAACACTGCAGAACCTGTGTTAGTCTCTGAGAAATGAGCTGCAAAACTGGCGGGGAAGGGACTAACCTAGCTCAAGTGTCCAGCAGAGTCAGGTGCAAATTGCAAGAGAAATAAATGGTGAATAGAAAAGTCAATTTCTAAAACTCAGCCTGAATATACTCAATTGTTAATAGCACCAGGGGGAACAAACACATTTTTGGTGTGATTTGTACTTTCATCTTGGTGGTGCTTGGTGTGGACACATTTTTTTTAAGAGTTTCACCTGGCATCCAAGCAAGCAGCCATTCGGAATTACTTCACATAAGACTGGCTTCCTTTTTATCCCCCCTCCACAATCGTGCCTACTGATGTGTAGAACAGAGGCCCCTTTCCCCTCACCCTATGCTTTCTCTTCTCTTTCATGATATCCTTGGTGTCCTGCAGCATCTTCTCCTTCCAAAGATCAAAGAAGTATGAAGGGTCGGTGTAGAATTTGAGTGCCTCTTTTCCATCATCCCTGGGATAGAAATGAAGACAAGTAGCTGTCAGTAGACAGATGAGCTCCCAACCAAATCCAATATTCCAAACACCTACCAGTTAGCAGTTTTTACACCAAGGAATCAAGCAGTCATTCAAATCGATTGCATATTTCCTCTCCTTACCTGCATTTCAATGCCCCTGAATGGCACCTCTCTACTTCTTAAGAACTTTCTCATTACTTTCAATTCCTGATAGAGGAATTGGCATGGTTAGGGCAAGAATAAACTACAGCAGTAGAGATTCTGATTATTTTCAATGATCTGCATGGCCACAGACAGCTCCCTGAGAACATCTGGATATGCTAGCACATCCAAGGGGATTTCTGTTACTGTTTCCTCTTTCCCCACCAATTCCCCAGGACTCTTCAGTGGCCTTCAACCCACCTGAAACCTGAACACTCATATACAGGTTTACATGTATACACAAATATAAACAAATGTATGTATGTGTGTACAGCTGTTATTTCTCTATACACAGATAACCACAGCACTGCACCTTTTTGCTTCCTTCTACAATAGTGCAGCATCCACCCTCACCCCCACCACAAGGGGGCCTCAATGAGAACAGATGGCCAGCAGTTTTAAGACTACAAGGTTTACTCACCATCTCTTAATGACTATGACAGTGCTACATAGTGAGCTATTGAATGTCAATATAAGGTGCCATCTGCCAGACTTAATGATCATTTTGGCATGGTTAAGCCCCTCACTGTCCAGAAAGCACGTGCTTCAGGGTGAACATTTATTTTAACATTATTCTGAACAAAAAAAGTATTGGAAAGGCAATTTTATTTTCTACCTTTCAATCCTATCACAACACAGAGAAAATGTTTCTAAATCAAACACTAATAATTTTCATATTAAATCTTGTTCAGAGTTGGATATCCTACTGTTGTTTCTCTTAGGTCAAATCCAGAAAAATAAGAGGAGATGCTAATTCTGATATTGTATGTTTACAAAGACAATATCATTCCCTGAAAAATAAAATTATCTGAACAATAAAACTATCTTACCACACAAACCACCTGTATAACATTCCCCATAATGTTATCAGGTGTGTGACCCCTTTCTGCCCCATACTTCTCTGCCCACAGCCAACTAGACTACAGAATGGAGACTATTAAGTCAAAGTTCTGGCCTGCTATGTTTACTAGTCCCTTTAAAAGCCAAGGGGCAAGCATAATTTCATATAGTAATAAAAAAGGGTGGATGCTTTGTACTTTCTCTGTGTGAGAAACTACCAAGTTCCCATTCCATGGTCCCTGAATCGGAATGGTATCCTTGAATTTCACAGGGAGGGACACACACACACAATGTGTACACACACACACACACACATACACACACTGCTTTGCAGTGTATTCATGTCTGATAGAAAACATCTGCCTCCAGGGACGGGGGTTGTGACTCAGCGGTAGAGTGCTGTGAGGCCCTGGGTTTGATTCTCAGCACCACATAAAAATAAAATAAAGAAAACATCTGCCTCCAGCTATCTGTAATTACTTTTTACCTGTCCCAAAGATATTTAAGGATACAAGCAAGATAAATATTCACTTTCTGCCCATTCAGAGGTTTTGTACTACGAAACCACTAGTAGAAAGGAGGTGCTTTTAAATTGTCTTTAAGGCTACCTTCTTTTTCAAGTCCAGCCACAGAAGGGTAGGTCCTTGCAGAAGAAATACAGAAAGAATGTTCAAAACAAAGTGAATGACAATAACTTGCAAGAATGCCAATTACTCCTTAAGCTTTGGAAGGACCATTCTGGGCCCAGAGCAGCCAGTTCATGAAGCTGGCTCCATGAACATACCCCAAACATCTGGTAATCTAGTGGTTTCCAAATAAGTGTGGGAGCCTTTCTAGAACGTTGCCCCTGGGATCCATGCTGTAGGACCGCCTTGTAACAAAGTCCATTTGGTTCTATAATAACTAAATTCCTTGGATGAAACCCAAGATGGACCTAGCTTACACCAAATTAAACTCTGCAGCATGCAATGTTACACCAAACTTTCAATATGTATTATATTCAGTATGAATTTCAGAAACCAAACAATAGTAAGTGACAATAGCTTTTAAGGCTCTTTAGCTTCTGTTACTCAAGCAACTCCTGTGTAGGAAGTAAGCTTTTGGTACAATCCCCTGATGTAACAACATCTTCAGATATTTTAGACAATCTAGTGTTGTTAACTATAGACCAAAAAAAGGAAAGGCTAAGCAACTGTTACCTGTAAGGGGTGAGATTGTTGAGAGGGGGTGGAGTATCACAGGTATTGTATGTTTCCAAGACAGGCACTGGGAGAGAATTTCTGTCAAAAAGCTTCTGGTCTTGAATGGTAGAGCTTCTGAAAGCCTTTCGGGTGTTGATTCCTTGTAGTGACACTGAGAGAAGATGGAAGGTGTTAGAAAATGGACGACAGGCTATTTGAACAAACATTGAGTCACACCAGTCAGAGAGGCCTCAGCTGCTGCATTTCTTGGCTGCAGCTGTCTGCAGCCAGGTTTTTTTTTTTTTTTTCCTTCCTCCTCTGGGGAAGCCCCACAAGACTGTAAGCAGCCCAGCCATTTCAGGACTGAACAAAATGAGGCAACATAGAGGTTTACTATGTAGCTAGATCTAGCAGACTCTCTTCTTAAGTGGAATGAATCTTCCAAGTACTTTAATGGTAGCAAAATATGAAAGGAAATTTGAGAATGAAGGAATTGGGGGAAAGGGAAAAAGGAAGTATATGGGGAAGTATGTGGAGAAAGGAAGCATGTGGTAGCACTAAAAAGGTTTCTTTACACCTCCCAGGTTTATGTCATTTCAAAACATATCTCCATAGGTCTCTGATTTTTCTCCTTGCTTTTTTATAAATCAGGAGAAGAAATTCTAAGAAACTGCTCACCAGAGCCTATAAATGCTGAGCTCAGCTTCCTTACCTTCTTCTTCTTTGGGATCCAGCTGAGTGACTTTAACTTGTAGTCGGTCAACCCTCTCAGCAAGGGTGCTTACGCGAGAGGCAAAGGTATTTGCCTGAGTAAAGAGCTCTCCAAAAATGTCCTCTGCGTATTTACCTGTAAAGACCAAAGGAACCAAGTCACTAGTGCTTAGGAATGTCATAAATGGACACAAAACCTGCCTACTAAAAATTGTATTCCCCACTCCTCCAACACATACACACATACCTATGCTTCCCCTTACATCCAGAGATATAGTCTCCATAGTTTGGGTGGTCTGAATATGCTTTATAACTAATAGAGCCTTCTTAGCAAACTCTCTGAACGGTAATGACACTCAAAGCAGGCTGAATAAAATCAATAGGTGTAATGCAAAAATTAATCCTGAAAGACAATATGTCTACACATTTATCTGTAGCACTCATCCCCTTGCTATCTGTAAAGCAACTTGTAAAATGGTTCCAAAAAACAGATTGGGAGGGGCTGGGTTTGTGGCTCAGTGGTAGAGTGCTTGCTTAGCATGTGTGAGGCACTGGGTTCGATCCCCAGAACCACATAAAAATAAAATAAAGGTACTGTGTCCATCTACAACTAAAAAATATATTTTAAAAAAACAGATTGGGAATTAAGAGAACCCATAAGGTGCCCACAATTAATATGATAAATAATAAATTACTTTCTCACTGGAGCTTCAAAAGTTCATTGAACAGCTAGGCATGGTGGCACATGCATGTAATCCTAGCAAATCAGGAAACAGCAGCAGGAGGATCACAGGTTCAAAACCAGCCTCAGCAACTTAGCAAGACCCTAAACAACTTAGTGAGACCCTGTCTCAAAAAATAAAAAGGGTTGGGGAATGTGACTTCTGGGTTAAATCTCTAGTACAAAAAAAAACACAAAAATCCATTGAACAACCAAGATGATTTGGGTTATCTCCAAGCGGCCTTGAACTTACCATCATCCTACAACAGAGACACATAAGTTCTTCTAAGGGGTGAAAAGGTCACTTTAGGTTCTATAACCTGCAACTTTCAAAGTCTCTGCTGTAGGTTAAAACCCTTCAAATCTATATCTCAGGCCATGTGCAGTGGTACACACCTGTAATCCCAACAACTCAGGAGGCTGAGGCAGGAGGACTGCAAGTTTGAAGTTAGCCTCAGCAACTTAGTGAGACCCTCTCTCTCTCAAAAAAAAAGATGATGATCGTGGTAAAGTGCCCCGGGATTAAAACTCCAATCACACACACACACACACATACCCACACACCAAACAACAACCACTACCACCAAACCACTACCTCTCAGGAAACAAGTGTAAAGCTGAAGCTTTCAAACCCTCCCTGAAAAACAACATACCAGTGGACTCTTTCTACAATGTTTTGTTTTTTAGAAAAAGAAAAGAGTTCTGTATTTTCAACCCTGGAATGCAAGGAGAATTTGCAGCCAAAGAAACATTACAGCAATTTGACACTACTTCCATATTGTCATTCCAAGCCACAAGGCCTCATTCTTACTAGGAATAAGAAGTAGTGCACATGAATAAATATACCATCTGAGTTTCATACTTGCAAGGTGAAGGCAGGCATAAATGACTATGCCCAATCCAAAGATAATTTTTTTGAGAACTATTTAAAGTAGGCTGTCATGTTTAGCTTCTAAACTACATTAATGCTTAGTCCTTATTGGGGCGGGGGGGAGTGGATTAGTCTGAAAGGCAAAAACTGCATCTTTAGAGTGGAGTGCAGCTTACCTTTCCAGTATAACCTGCAAAGTAAGGATAAGATCAATCAACAGCTTATTTCGAATTGCTAGTAAATTTAAGTCAATAAGGAGTTTCTAATCAGGGAAGGAGCAAGGCCTTGCATACTGAATAGTCCCGTGATTTTAAACACTATGAAAGCTCCTGAGCTCAAAGGAATCAAATTGGTTAACAAACCACATTTTACTCTGCAAGTGGAGGATCCTATTTGATCCCTGTCCATAATATGACTATGTTCCTACACAAATGATTCTATATCAAGCTCTACCAGGTAACAGAAAATTGAGTTTGGAGCTGGCTGCAGTGGCACACACCTGTAATCCCAGTGACTCAGTAGGTTGGGGCAGAAAGGATTCAAGTTTGAAGCTAGCCTAAGCAACTAATGAGGCCCTCAGCAATTTAGAGAGACCCTATCTCAAAATAAAAAATAATAAAGGGCTAGAGATGTGGCTCAGTGATTAAGCACCTTGGTTCAAATCCCCAGTACAGAAGGAAGGAAGGACAGAAAGAAGGAAGGAAACTGTGTTTGCACTAGGAACAGTGGTATGTGCCAGTAGTTCCAATGACTCAGGAAACTGATGCAGAAGGATCATAAGTTCAGGGCAAAATCCTGTTTCAAATACAATAAAAAGAACTGGGAATGTAGTTTCGAGCTAAAGCACCCCTGGGCTCAATCCCTAGTACCAAAAAAAAAAAAAAAAAAAAAAGGAAAAGAAAGTGTGTTTAGAAGCTTACAGATAGAAAACCCCTAATGTAAAGAACTGGTAACATGGGATCTCTTTTTAAGAGAAATGAGATGAGGTAGGGTAAATGTTTTCCCACTGTCACATCAGTTCAGGACCTTGACAAACTCAGAACTGTACTATAGGACAAAAACGCAGACTTCAAGTTAGAAGACCTGAGTTTAGGGCTGGGGATGTGGCTCAAGCGGTAGCGCGCTCGCCTGGCATGTGTGTGGATCGGATTCAATCCTCAGCACCACATACCAACAAAGATGTTGTGTCCGCCGAGAACTAAAAAATAAATATTAAAAATTCTCCCTCTCTCTCTCCTCTCTTAAAAAAAAAAAAAGAAGACCTGAGTTTATGTCTCGGCTCTATTTGTACCTGTGTACTCCTTTGCAAGTCACAGTCTCTCAGCCTTACTCTCATCTATAAACTGGGGATTATTATCGTAAGGATTAAATGAGCTAAAATTCTAAGTTGTTATAAAGAGATTCTTTAGATTGCTAAGCCATGTTAGAGGACTTTTTTTTTTTAATGTTTTAGTTGTTGATGCACCTTTATTATTTATTTATTTATATGTGGTGCTGGGGATCAAACTCAGTGCCTCACACAGGCTAGGAAAGTGTTCTGCCACTGAGCCACAACCCCATCCCCTAGAAAACTTTTTTTTTTTAGTTGTAGATGAACACAATACATTTGATTTATTTATTTTTACATGGTGCTGAGGCTCGAACCCAGTGCCTCACACGTGCTAGGCAAGCGCTCTACCACTGAGCTACAACCCCAGCCCATGTTAGAGGACTTTTAAGAGGGTAATCATCTAAGCCAGCAATAGAGTACATGCCTGCAGACCCAACTTCTTAAGATGCTGAGGCAGCTCACAAGTTGAAGACCAGCATGGGCAGTGATAGTGAAGCCTTTTTTTTTCTATTGGTGACAATGCTCGTTTTATTGATTATGATGATAGTTTCAGAGGTTATAAATTTGTCAAAACTTACAAATTACACATGCTAAATATAGTGGTTATTTTGCAATTATACTTCAGTATAGCTGTTTGAAAAAGAGATGGTCAGGGTAGAGGGAACAAAAGTTAAAGGGGAAGAAAGGCATATTGCGATTTTAGACAACTTCAGAGCATGCTCCACTGAGGTGGGATCTGAAAGAGGCTTTAAAAGAAGTAATAGCAAGGCAAAGTACCCAGGACAAGGTTTTGCCTAGTGATGAGTCCAGTGTGCCTGATGCCTACTGAGAAAGGACTAGTGTAGAAGAAGAGGAAGTCAGAGAGGCCCCAAGTCACCAAGAGCCTTGCAGTGCATTTTTTAGGAATTTTAATTTTATTAGAACTAAAATGGGTAATTGCTAAATGTTTTTATGAAGAGGAGTGATACTACCTCAGTTTCAAATGAATTTTTTCGACTACTGTGTTAAGAATAATCCTTAAACTGGGTGCAGAGGCACATGATTTTAATCCCAGTGGTTTTAGAGGTTGAGGTAGGAGGATCACAGGTTCAAAGCCAGACTCAGCAACATAACAAGGCCCCAAACAACTTAGAGAGATCCTGACTCAAAATGAAAATTAAAAAACGAACTTTGTTGTTTTTTTTTTATAAATAAACAAAATATCAGCTGGGCACTGTGGCACACGCCTGTAATCCCAACAGTTCAGGAGGCAGAGGCAGGAAGATCTTTTTTTTTTTATTTTTTAAGAGAGAAAACGAGGCAGGAAAGAGAGAGAGAGAGAGAGAGAGAGAGAGAATTTTTAATATTTATTTTTTAGTTCTCGGCGGACACAACATCTTTGTTGGTATGTGGTGCTGAGGATCGAACCTGGGCCGCACGCATGCCAGGCGAGCGCACTACCGCTTGAGCCACATCCCCAGCCCCGAGGCAAGAAGATCTTGAGTTCAAATCTAGCCTCAGCAATGGGAAGGTGCTAAGCAATTCAGTGAGATACTGTCTTTAAATAAAATACCAAATAGGCCTGGGATGTGACCAGTGGTTCAGAGCCCAAGTTTAATCCCTGGTACCCTACCCCCCAAAAATCTAAATATCCTGTTTTAAACTTGGAGGAAATTTGAAACATAATTCCAATTGGAGACTCAATAGCCCATTCAGACTACCAATACAGACCCAAGACCCACCACAACATCCTTAACATAATGTCCTGATGGGACATTTTACAAGATTTCAGAATAGTTTGATAGTTTCCCCCCCCCCCTTTAGCAGAACTCTTCAAACAAAATGTTACGTGGAAGTAGAACAGGTAAAACCAATTTTTAAAAATGTGCAGCTGCTCTTATTGAAGTCTGAGTGGGAGTCCTAAAGCTCCTGAATGCCACCAGTGAGAAAACCCAGTATCAGAGCATGATTCCCTAATGACCCAAGTAGGGGTTCCAGTCTCCTAAATAGCCACAATACCAATCCAAAGTGCTGAATGGCTGACTGTGCTTTTAGTTTCTAAAACATGACAAGCTAAAATGTGAATGCAATCTCACCATACTGAAGGAAAATAAGAATTCTAAATGTGCTATCATGAAGAAATCTGTGGCTCTGGACTTTTAAAGTTCCCCAGTCCCTTCCCAGTACAGGGGATTAAACCCAAGACACATACTAGGCAACGCTCTACCACTGAGTTACATCCTCAGGCCTTTTCATATTATTTTGAGACAGGGTCTCACTAAATTGCCCAGGTTGGCTTCTAACTCATGATCCTCCTGACTCAGCCTCCCAAGTAGCTGGGATTACAGGCATAGTAGCACATGCCTCTTTTCATATATATGTGTTTTAGGGATCAAATTCAGGGCCTTGCACATGTCAGGCACGGGTTCTAGCACTGAGCCACATTCCCAGCCCAGGATTTTCAGTTTTTGCTTTATCTATTCCATAACCAGAGTTTCACTATCAGAAGAGCCAGTTCTGGCTAGCGTACAATGCATGAGGACAAAATCAGAATCTGTCTCTGAGCCCCTCTCTGCTGGATGAAATCCTAGTTATCTTTCAAAGCCCACTCTAAATGTAACCTCTTCTAAGAAGCCTTCCTTTCCCCACCTGTACTCCCACTTCTCATAGAGAGGATTCCTTCCTCCCCTGTATTCTCTGTGTACCAACAGCACAGAATCATGGGGAACATACAGACATGAATCATTCAACATTTAATGAACAACTTCTACTGGGTGCCAGGTACTGTATAAGGTCGACACAGAAGTTCAAGGACAAACAACAGGATTTCTGCTTTCAAAGAACTTTTAATTTAGCATAAAAGACAGTTGATTTGCAATATAATGTGGCAGGTAATAATACAGACATGTAATGGGAACTCAGAGGAGCACTAATCCCAATCTGAAGGAGATTCCTGATCTGGCCTTGAAGGATCAGCTCCATGAAACCAGGCAGAAAAAGAGGTTAAGGGCTTTCCAGCAACAGCACAGCATGGAAATACGAATTTAAAAGATTGTAAAATGTAAAGACTGTAAAATAGGAAACGACAAATTGTAGAAATTGGGACTAGAAAGGAAGACAGGTCTTAAAAGAGAATCTTAAATGCTAGGCCAAGGAAGTTAGATTATTCCATAGTGAAGACCAGGGGAGATAAATAGTTAAAATTTTTATTCTTAGCTGGGCATGATGGCACACGCCTATAACCCAGTGACTTGGGAGGCTGAGGTAGGAGGATCTCAATCAAGTTGAAGGCCAGCCTTAGCAATTTAGCAAGTCCCTCTGTGGGGAAAAAAAAGAGAGAATGTAGTTCAGTTGGTAAAGCACCCCTCAGTTCATTCCCTGTACCCTCCTCAAATCAAAAGTTCAGAATTATAAAAGTAAAAACTGAGAACTGGTTGGAAATGATGTCACATGCCTGTAATCCCAGCAGCTCAGAGGCTGAGGCAGGAGGATAGCGAGTTCAAAGACAGCCCCAGTAACTTATCGAGGCTCTGAGCAACTTAGTGAGGCCCTATCTTAAAATAAAATTTTAAAAAAAGGGCTGGGGATGTGCTCAGTGGTTAAGCAATCAATCGGAAGGAAGGAAGGAAGGAAGGAAGGAAGGAAGGAAAGAGAGAAAAAAGTAAAAAACTGCATTTTAGGTAGATCACTCTGGTAGAAATATAAGGAACAGATAAAAGGGGGTTAAAAAGGAGGCCAAAAGTAAACTACATCGATAGTTTAGGTCAAAGTCAATGAAGGTCTGAACTAGAGCACTGTTGCCAAAGACACAGTAAAGGACTGAGCAAAGAAATTCTTAAGAAGTCTAAGTTTAAATATTGACTTTTGAGGCCGAGAGTGTAGCTCAGTGGTACAGTGAATGCTTAGCATACACAAGGCCCTGGGTTCTATCCCTAACACCAAAAAATAAGTAAATATTGATTTTGCCTCTTACTGGCTGTGTCTCTTTAAAGAAGTTACTGTACTTTTTGGAGCTTTTATTTCTTCATCTGAAAAAGGAGACTAGAACTTTCTACCCTTATAGAACTATTGAAAAGATTAAATGAGATTATATCAAGATCCTGGCAAAAGCAGGGGCTGGAGTTGTAGCTCAGTGGTAGAGTGCTTGCTTAGCATGTGTGAAGCACTGGGTTCAATCCTCAGGACCACATAAAAATAAATAAATAAATAAATAAATAAAAAAACAAACAAACGTATTTTGTCTATCTACAACTAAAAAGTATATATTAAAGGGGGCTGGGAATGTGGCTCAAGCGGTAGCGCGCTCTCCTGGCATGCGTGCAGCCCGGGTTCGATCCTCAGCACCACAAACAAAGATGTTGTGTCCACCGAAAACTAAAAAATAAATATTAAAAAAAATTCTCTCTCTCTTCCTTCATTATAAAAATATATATATATTTTTAAAAAAAAAAACTGGCAAAAGTAGACAATCAAGAAATTTGAATTCCTTTCTCTCCTTCTCCTCATGATCCCCTGAAGAATTACTTATTTCCGTCTCTGCTGGTAGATATGAACTCCTGGAAGGCAGAGACCATTTCTTTTTCTTTCTTTCTTTTATTTTTATTTTTTTTAGAGAGAGAGAGAATTTTTTAATATTTATTTTTTAGTTTTTGGTGGACACAACATCTTTATTTTATTTTTATGTGGTACTGAGGATTGAACCCAGCGCCCCGGCATGCATGCCAGGTGGGCACACTACCACTTGAACCACATCCCCAGCCCAGAGACCATTTCTTATCACTGTATCTTCTCAACATCCAGCACACAAAATATATACAATACATGTTTACATGTGGGAGACCAACTTTACACGTGACTGAGTCACATTCCCCAGCTGGGTGCTGAGGCGCTCAGTCACAGAAATGTGGCAGAGCTTTCCCCACCCTTCTTGGGTTCGAGGGTCGGTGTCTCGTGTGTCTTGCTACAGCCCCATGGTTCCTCTGTTATATAACCCCTTGCCCTGTTTAGGATAGAATCTTCCATGGAAGTGCCTTGTGTGTGTCCCCTTCTCTTACTGTGCCCTTGGGTGTGGCCTACCCAGGTGTCAGTCAACCTGCTGACAGTGGACATCATGAAGATAGACTCAGCCCCCTGAAACCTGACCCCTTGCCTCATTTGAATAGCTTCTCCTCAATAAAAGGGGTCAGCAAGACCTCTCGCTTGCTTTTTCTGTGGACCCTTAACGTCAGAGGAGTTGTCACAGCGACCCCAAAGAAAAAGGTATTTGTGTCTCTTGTGTGGTCATTTTGTGCAGCCCAGTTAGCCCAGTTTAACTGGAGTAACCCCTGAGCCTTTTAATCGCAAGAACTGAAACCCGGCATTTACTGGATGAATAAAGGGTCACTTAGAAATCTTGTTTCCTTAGGCACAAACAGAACCTTGTCCCTTAGATGGGCTTCCTCAACATAGGTGTGGTCTGATCACAAGTGGGAGGGTCTTCAATGGCATCCATCAACACTATCTTGGAAAAACACCTTAGAGAGAGCATAACTCCTGCTGAGTGCGAATAAGAAGCATCATTAGCTAGATGTTCTTTGTCCTATGGAGAACGTATGTGATTGACTTCCACCCATTTGGCCTTCTCAGGGTGACAGAAGCAGAAATGATGCTTTTAAGAAGCAGTGAGGCTCTCTACAGCTTTCATGTGCTTCTTTGTCAGCAGCACTGCTGTTGAGCTACTGTCAATGTTCCTTTGTATAAGACAGGCACTGGCAGGGTTTCATTTCTTTGTGACACCCCATCCAGGTTTCCCTAAGCCCTGGATCAATTGAGATGGTCCCTGAACTAGGTGAAGGCTTAGGAATCTCAGACTCCATACATCATTTGGTCACAGAGCTCTATCTTCTCAGGCTCCTATTTTAAAGGCAGGACCTATTACTATCTGGCGGAATGCAGGCTTTCTTGATATTCCTCTCCCTTCACTAAGGGCAGTGATGCGACAGGAGGGCAAGTATCTGAAATAATTCACACCAAGTTGCCTTTGCTAAGGAATATCACACTAAAATGGCATTTTGACAGAGGTGCTTATGGGACCTCGGGTGGCAGTAGACAAATGCAGAGCCAACCCAAGCATCTGCCCTTCCCATACCTCAGCTTCAAGCAAATAAAGTCAGCTTGATTCAGAATGAAACCCAAACCACGTGCATGTACCCCATGTACTCCCACCCATGGCAGTCTCATTCATTCTTACCAATTAAAAAACAAAACTGTAATTGAACTGGCTTTCCCTCAGCTCCAAAACAGACTGGGCTAACCCCCATCTTCCTCCTAGAGAAGAATGGTTCCAACTACTATTTGTGTCACTGTGTGTTCACACAGCTTGTAAAACTCCCAAAACCCTAGAGACTGCAGAAGTAATTTGTACCCTGAACTTGGACCTGGGGGCTTGCAGCACAATTAAATGTGTACCAGGGTAGACTAGTCAGCCAGAATTTCTCTGAGTACATGTTTGCTTTACTCCTCTTTGGAAAGAAAGTGGGGGAGGGTGTTGGATAGATAAAGGCTATTGGCACATTTGAGGCTTCAACAAAGTCAGGCTACATCGAACAGCTCCTGTAATTAGAGGCACATTCCCCGACCCAAGACACTGCTCTGTGAACCTCCCACTTTACACACAGAGAATTCTGCTCTGTCATTCCATCTGCAGTTTCTGCTGCAGCTCTTCCTGCTACCCTTCCCACAGATTTCTTTTGAAGCAGGTGGAGGGGGAGGGGGAGGGAACCTAGAGGGTGGTGGTAGATGGAGAAAGGATGGGGGAAAGAATCTGTACCAAAAAAGGAGCCTCTCTTTGGGGGGGGGGGAATACATTTCACATTACCTAGGGAAGGCAGATGGGGGAGAAATAGGAACATGGGAGGAGAAGGAAACTAAATAAAGAGCACCAACGACCCCTGAGGGCAAAGCACAGGCTCTCGGAGGCACTCACTCAGGCTGCCCAGCTGTCGGATGACATTTGCCAGGGTGATGTTGGTCATGCATTCCAGCTCGCTTCTAACGCTAGGCAACGTCTGACGGCACAGGTGCCTTGGCTCAATGTTTCTTGTTACTAACGGCATGGTGGACCTGCTTCAGGCAATGTTCTGAATGATGAAAAACAACCTAAAACAGAAATAACAGGAAAGTATTACTCAACCACAAATTCCAGGCACACTAGGGCTGTGTCTTTCTTTCTTTCTGTCTTGCTCTGATCTAAAAACAGCTTTTAAAGATCTTTACCCCCCACCTTTTTCTCTTTTACTCCTCCCATTTCTTTTAAGGTCTTGCTACTAGAAGACTTGCTATGTAAGTTTACCAGACAAACTTATATATTTTGAACTAGTAACTGCTGGCTGAGGTACACAGTTACAACTACTGTTTCAACCAACAAGATTACCCAGAGGCAAGGAGACATGGTCAGAAAACAGTCCTTTCAGCAAACATCGGATGGTATGGATTCTATCCTTGGGGTGTCCATAACCAAGACAGATCAGATTCTAGGCCACCAATTATATGAATCAAAAAAGAGATTCCATCATCTGATAATCTCCAGAATGAATTGAAGCTGCCAACAGTGATTCCATTGATATATATCAGGACATAGCTTCTCCAATTCCTCTTAGGTAAATGACTATTAATGTACAACTAAATGCTAGCTGCCAGTATCTATTAACAGCAGTAAAGTTTAGTTTGTAAAATGAAAGAATGAAAGAATATCAAGGATAATTTTAAATGTTCAATAAGTCAAACAGATGCTAAGCCAACTATGCTATAAGATTCTCTGATCCTTTCTCTTCTACCCAAAGCCTCCCCCTCTCTCTCCCATCCAGTTCAATATACCTGGGCCAAAGGGCTCTAGAAACAGCAGGAAGTGACTAGAGCAGACCCTGGAAACTTTTAGTTACTGTTTCTTAGCCAGTCAGCTGAGCCCCTTTCCCTAGGAAATCCCTCAGCAGGCTCATGCTGAGCTATTGTTTTAGATTACCAGATTCCTATTTTTATAAGTTTAGGAAAAGGTTTCAATTTCAACACAGTGAATATGACAACAGTCAAAGCACACTGGTCTGGAACTATTTCTCTATCTTACAAATCTAAATCAAAAGGGCCAAATGGCTTTAATGCAAGAGAAAGTCACTTCAAATGAAAAGGTAACATATGCTAGCCCCCAATATTATAAACACCTCTTTAAAAAAACAAAACAGAGGTTTACTTACATCAAATTTTAAAACACCAGCTCATCACCAAAAATGTTGATTGTGGATACAAAATGCTTAAACCAAACTTAACCATCACAGATCCTAAAAGCAAACCAACATATTATCTGATCAAAAAAAAAAGATCCTTTAGCCCTTCAGGCTCAAAAAGGGAGTAGAACCCTTTGGAACAGACTGCTCCTTGTTATGGACATTCTGATCTGCTACAAGTAAAAATAAAACAGGAAGCCAGCAGCTTGGGGAACAAGATTTCCTGTCACCAACAGCAACAGCCCAAGAACCAAGAGAATCAGCTGTTTACTTATGACTTTGAACCTCCCTTTAATAGTCACTGTGTGGCAACTGTGCCTATCTTTGGGGTGCAGAGGTGTTTCCTGCATACTTGTCTACTCTCTTAGGAAATGATTTCCATTCCATTTTGCTGCTAAGTTCTTCCTTTGACTCAACAGGTTCCTGATCCAAACTCCAGACATCCCAGTTTAACTCTCTTTCCCTCTTTTACTTCATGTAAACAGTATCAGTCTCAATCTGTAGTAGTAATCCTGGTGAAAAGAGAACAAGAAAGGAGGCAGGAGGTTACAAACAAAAGAACTTCACAGGGCTCTGTACAACATTCTTGGGATGCCCTCAGATTCCCAAATTTCAAACTTTCTGGAAGAACTAGGTAGGAAAGAGTCAAGAATGATTCAAAACAATTATTGCAAAGCTGGATGTGGTGGCACATGCCTGTAATTTCAGCCACCCAGGAGGATAGAAAGTCAAGTACAGCCTCTGCAACTTAGCAAGATCCTGTCTCAAAATTAAAATTAAAAAATACAAAGGGCTGGGGTTGTAGCTCTGTGGTAGAGTACTTGCCTAGTATGTTCCAGGCCCTGGGTTTAATCTCTAGTGTTGAGACTGAGAAGCAAAAGGAAAAGTCACCAGGGCTCCATTCACTGTCCCAGCTTCTCAGAGGAGCTACAAAGCCAGACTACCTTGAATTTCTGCATTGAATGTGACCATTGCCAGTGCATTCCAGACTTTCCCTCTGGATACCTCATGGAAACTGGATTCCAGAAAGCTAGGCAAATGTCATACAGGGGGTAGAGAGCAAATTCTCATTCTTTGGTGCTTGAGCATTTATGTTTTTCCAAGTGCCTTAGGTAAGCAGACAGAAATAGAGTTACTAACTGTCATCTGTGTAGGGTGTACTTAAAAGCAAGTTTTCAATAACAAGATGGCTTCCTTTTTATTATTTTCTTTTTGATATTGGTAACTGAATCCAAGGGCACTTTATACCACTGAGCTGTATCCCCAGACCTTTTTATTTAATTTTATTTTGAGACAGGGCTCGCTAAATTGCTGAGACTGGCCTCAAACTTGTGATCTTCCTGTCTCAGCCTCCCTAGTCACTGGTATTACAGGTGTGTGCTACCACACCTCGCAAAATAACTTCTTCTTTCCAAGAAAAGCCAGTTCCCATAACCAGCTAGAGAATATTCAAGAAATAACAAGACATCAATATCTATCAAGACAAAACAACTAGAAAAGTATACCTGCTATTGCACTGTTATTCATTTTTCTTTTGGATAATGGTTGGTTGTCTTCTGCAAAAGTGCAGAATTATGCATGATAACCCAAATAGTAACTTGACCATGAAAAAAAAAATCTTATATTCCTATGAAGATTAACTTAGAAATGGCCAAAAAGACTTAGGCTCAGCCAGGCGCAGTGGTACATGCCTATATTCCCAGGGGTTCACGAGACTGAAACAGGAGGATCACAAATTTAAAGCCAGCCTCAGCAACTTAAGGAGTCTGTGTCTTAAAAAAAAAAAAAAAAAAA